GACCCGTCTGTGAAGCGCCAGATGTGTAGCCCAGCACATTCCCCACTGGGTTTATGTACATGGGTCAAATCATTGACTCTTTTGGGTCATTGTTGGGGAGGGAGTTATATTGACCCCTGAGGAATTCTTTGCCGAATAAAGTCAGTGGGCTTAAGCCGGGTGTGATGAAGCCACATCAAGATCCCGTCGACTTTGACTGCTGTGTGAGTGGTCCTTTCCAGGCAGGAGTCAGTTTTTGGGTGGCACATTTCTTTACCCAAATAGCGTCACCAGTTTGGAAGGGATGAACTAGATACAGGCCGATCATCTAGGACGTGCTTCTGGTCTGCTTTCTAGGAAGACTGTAAAGCCTGAAAGAACTTGAGTAAACTTTGGTTATGGATTTCAGCTTTTCTAGATTGGGGTTCCATGTAAGCTGGTGAGATGGGTAGGTCAGGGTCTGGAAGAGTCACAAGAATCTGTAAAGGCCCCACTGGTATTAGGGCAGCCTCCTGGGCTGCTTTGTCTGCAGCCTAGTTCCCTCTTGCTTAGGCAGCAAGGTTTGAGCAATTTTAAAATTCCTTAACATACATTCTAATACAGTCGAGTTTCAGGAGGAGCTATTACTCATGTTGCAGGGAGGGACCCGATTGCCTCCTCCTTAAAAAATACCTGAATAAAAGAACTAATCCAAATAAGGCTTATTTTCTAACTTCATTTGTCCCAGATTGTGGACAGCAAATGAGACTAATCAGATTAACATAAACGATTTAACCTTTGTTTACGGGGGCAAATGCACATCATTTAATCCCAGGTGTCCTTGGTTTAAGGAAGATGGGATTTCTGCTCAGTTTCCCTATTGGACTTGTCCCAGCTTACTGGCCTATCATCCATTCAACTTTCTTTCAACATTTCTCTTTTCCTTCTCATCACATACACACCCTTCACAAATTTCACACTTTCAAATTAGCCTTCACACCTTCTGTCTGTGTCCTTCAAAAATGCATAACCATGCCTCAGACCTTCCATTAAGTATTTCTCTTTATCTTCCTCCCATCACACCAAAGCCATACTTTCCAGTTAGTTAGACCTCTTAGCCTTAATTTGTAGGGGACATGTAAATAGTTAACATTCCTCAGATTAGCAATACATTCATATTTTTTTAAGAGATACAAACAGAAATTTCACTAGCTAAACAATTTTAAACAACAAAGACACATATTTAAACAATAAAGATAGATTACATTCCCCATTCACCACGGAAACTCAGGAGATGTTCAGAAGGTTTTTTTCAAAGGAAACAAAACAAACAAAAATACTTTTACACTGGCGCGCGCCACATTTACACCACAAAATGCCAACAAATCAGTTTCCTAGATCAGAAATCCATTCACACAATCCCCCAAAATTACGTTGACTGTAAGTAGTAGAGCCACCTGTTACTACCCGCAAACAATGTGTTCATAACCTCCATTGAAATAGTTTTTCTCCTTAAAAGCGGCGAAATGACAAAATCGACAGACTGGACACATTGGACTCACAGATACATTGGACTCACAAACAAGAACCAAAACCACTCACAAACAAATCTAAATCCAAAACCAAAACGGCTCACAAAAATCCAAAACAAATCCAAGAAAACCAAGGCCAGAAGTGCCCTCTGACGTCTCAGGGGAACCAAGGAAGGAGAAGTTAGGCCGAGTCCAGCCCTTCTCACAATCCACCACCAGTGACCCGTCCCAGAGCTCCAGAACTTACCTCTGGAGGATTTCCCAGGTGACTCAGATGAAATTTTTTTTTTTTAGGGACGGGCGAACGTCCCCTGTCTGTTCGCTGGATCAGAAGGGAGTTCTCCTGGGCCCTGGAACTTCTCAGTGTGTGGGTTCCTTGCTCTCCTTCTACTCTGACCAACCGCCAGTGATGGTAGGGCATGGGCCTGACGCTTCAGTGCCAGCTATTTTCTGGGCTACTAAGCAGGATACCAGGCTTTCTCCGTGCATTGGCTCCAAGTCTTCAGAGCTCAGACAGGGCTCCTTAAAACATGATACTCCAGTCAAAGTTCCTGGTTAATAAAACCACTATTGGGAACTGGTATTATTGAATTTATGCAAAGAAATGTATTGCCATGATTTATTTAGCATTGCCAAATTTCGGAGGAATTACATAAGGAGAAAAAGCCACTGACCTGCCTTAAGATCTTCTGATTTTCCTTGCCAGTCCTTTTTATGGACTCTCCAGAGTTATACTCTCTCTGGCTTACTGGCCTGTACCATTTGATTAATTTCCTTTCAACATTTCTCTTCTCCTTCTTATCACATACACAACCTTTCTAAATTTCATACTTTCACATTAGCCTTTAAACCTTCCTTCTATGTCCTTTAAAAATGCGTAACTATGCCACAGACCTTCTACTCAGTAATTCCTTATTCTTAAATCCCTGAGTTGCCAGGAACTCATTACCTAGAGCCATCGAGGCAATTTAGAGGAATTGCACGGTCCTGGTCTGGGGACCACAGACAACTGGAACGCAGTATCTGTGGCCACGAAAACTATTTAGGATAATTGTGCTGTCCTGTTTCATTATGCAATTTCAAGTATTGGAGGGGTTAAGGAAAACAAAACGGGGCAGAGAGAAACTTACTGTGCTTAGTAGTAGCTTGTGGCCTTGAGTCCAACATATTTCAGATAAGTAAATATCAACAAAACTTCTGGTCTGCTGATTGAATGGGATGATTAATATAATTCAGAAAATCAAAATAACCTGTCCATTGTAAAACAAAGCAAATAGGTACCATACTTCACCGGTAATTATAAAAATTAATATTCCATCTTGTGTATAATTTGCACATCAGCCCTCCCTCCAAGTCTTTGAACCCACGAAAGCCACGCTGGCCATGGACTCTCGCATAGAGGCCCAGTGAACAAAAATTTGAGC